TTCAGCAAAGCATGAAAGCAGAGAAAAGGATACATTACCTTAAACGTAGCGAGGAAGAAGCAAGAGTCAACGATTACAATCCTCTGCTTCTATTATTATGGAAGGCTAATATCAATGTATCATTTACAAGTGAGTGTTCTCTAGCTCTGGCTGATTATATGAGTGGCTACGTGACAAAGGCTGAAGGGGGTCACATGCTAGATCTGTGGCAGGACATTTTAGATGATGGTGGCCTATACAGTAAATTGTTCAGAATTGGCATAAGATGTCTTGATAGCCAGTCCATCGGATTATACAAAACTTGTGACATATTACTTGGTGAGCCTCTTTGTAGAAAATCAAGAGATGTAAAATGGATTGATGTGGACATGCCAAATAAGAGAACAAGAAACGTAACGATGAAATTAAATGAAGTTGAAGAAATAGCAGTAAATGAGCTATCAACGGAAGACTTTTATGGGAAGGGCCTCGTCACTCACTTTATCCGAACAGACCCCCAAAATATGAAAAATATTGCTTTTATGATTTTGTAGCCAAACTCACTTACAATGGCAAAGATAAAAATGGCCAACGATGCTATAGAAAACTACAGAAGGAGAACCTCCCTAATTTTAAGGATTTTGATGTTAATAAAGCAAATCAGAGAGACAGTTTCTATTATGCCACCAATCTCCTTTTTGTGCCATTTAGAAATGAGGATGAGTTAGTTCATGATGGCGAAAGTGTCCCAGAAGCATTTGATCACCACATTGTTGACAACGAAAGGTATCTTGAGGCCAATGAAAAATTCAGAAAGTTGCTGAAATGCAGAGAGACTTTAAAACACATACAAGATGCCAGAGCAGCCAACAGAGAAGAAGATAAGTATAATGTGAAAGACAATGATCCACAGTTGATGGGACAGATTAAAGATGCAATGAGAGATATGGACACTGGATCTCATCTGACTCTACAAAAGAGAGAATCAATGCTAAATAAAGATCAAAAGCGCATCTTTGATCACATAAAAGCTCATCTGTTGAGGCAAATTGAATACGAAAAAAAATCAAAACAAGAGAAAGAGCAATCAGAATGTGTAACGCACTTACACATGTTCATGAGTGTTGTAGGTGGCACCGGTAAATTTTTTCTTATTGAGGCAATTAAAGCACTAGTGAAAAGCCTCTGGTCAACACTGACCAAACAGAGATGTGCAGTTGCTGCTCCAACAGGTTTAGCAGCTTACAATGTGGGAGGTGTAATGGCACATAGACAGTTTCAGCTACCAATAGAACACAAAGGACAGTGCCTCATACTGGTCACTACCCAAGACTAGTCATGGGTGCAGTACACATATGGCGCGATACTGTCACCTACGATAAATTGTCTATAAGCAAAAGACAAAAAATGACCAGAAATTTTCTGAAATGTTGCACAAAGTGAGACGTGGCTTTCCAGACAATCAGACTCTTGCTACACTTTCCAAAAGAGTATTTTCAATGCCCATTTCAAAAAAATTTAAAATATTACAAGAGGCTGGTAATGCTCCTGTTTGCCAGTTTCCTAAAGTAGATATGTGCAGAGAATTTAATGAGGAAATGCTAGCTGATCTACCAAGTCCAACTAAGGAAATAGAAGCCACAACTTTAATCAATGCAACTGTTACTATACGTAGAAAGGGTGACAATTTAAAAGAAAAGGTCAAGAAAAAGTTGGAAGAACTGTGGTTTAGAAGCTAATTTAAAATTGGCAGTGGGAGCTAAAGTAATGTTGCGTTGCAATGTACTGTAAGAGTTGAAGAGGGATAAGTAAATGGAGCACTTGGTACAGTGAAGACTATTTTAGCAACACACATAACAGTTAAATTTGATAGAATAGCTAATCCTTATGAGACTGAACAAGTCAAGAGAAAGTTTATGGTAATAAAGAATAAAGAATGTCTTTGTGTATATAGAAGCCAGTTTCCTTTAATATTAGCTTTTGCAGTTAAATGTCAGGGACTGTCACTAGATAATGCAATCATTGACTTATCCAACAATGTATTTAAAGAAGGAATGGCATACGTTGCCCTATCACGAGTAAGAAAACAGTCTGGTGTCCATTTGACATGTTTCAACCCCAAATCATTAATGGTTTGTTCAAAGAGCATACGAAAGATAAACAGGTTAAGACAGTTGTACAGATCAGACCTCCCACAATATGACATTCCTGGCAATAGAAAGGGTACCCAGGAAAAAAATCTTGCATATGATCTTGCTTAAGATCTTATGAAACCTTAAACTGATCATGCATGTTTAATCTTACCTGTTTTTGTAAGATTATTAGACAAGAAGTTCCAAAATCTTGTCAAGATCTTATGATAAATCTTACACTATCAGTAAAAATCAGTCACTAAATCTTACATTATCAGTCAAGATCAGGAACTAAATCTTGTATCACCTTTAAGAATCTTGCAAAAGATATAAGATATTGCTATCAAGATCTGAAAGAATCAGTTAAGTTCTTACATGGGATTTAAAGAACATCCCTTATAATTAAAATGACTGCAACTGTAAGATCTGAGCAAGATCTTACATTGCTTAAATGCGTAATATAATGTTGTGAGTTAATACTGTAACTTTATTAACTTTAATTATGTTGATTGTTAACTTTCCTTATATACTCATACTTTTATAAAAGGCTATCGTGGGTTGTCAACTACTTCC